TGAAAAAAAAATTTTAAAAAATATAATTGTTTCGGTTATTAGAGTTTTTCTGAAAATTGCTGTTTTCTGAAAATTTCTGGGAAACCTCTTTCAAAAATCATTCACTGATTGTTAACAATAACATTCTACTGTTTTGTGTCCGCTCTGTGGCCAGAAAATTCAGAGGAAAAAGTCCCAATTAAAATAAATGTTTATATAATTTATATTTTAAATAGTTATATTTACAATTATTATATTCAGTGTTTTTAATGCCGATGATTAAATATTGATGATTAAAGACAAATATTCCAGCTGACGTCACGAAGAAAAGCTGTAACAAAAAAAAAAAAAACTCATTAAACTACAATCAGTTATGCATGCGTATTCCTTTACTACTGAGACTGATTCATTAACCTTTAAAAAGCAAGAATTCGATAGTTAACGTTTCTAATTAAACTAAGAAAGTTGCAGAAACAGTGATAACATTGTTGTTCTGTTTGTTTTTTTGTTTTTTTCCCTGTGATTTTTTTTACCTGGATTCCTCTAGCTCTGTGCATATTCCCATTTCATTGTTAATGTTGTAGTCAAAAAGTTTATTTTTCACTGCTATTCTTCTGTGTAAAAAAAAACACAATCTCTCAGCTTGTTAGTTTCCTCAAAAAAAAAAAAAAAAAAAAAAAATGATGCAATTTCCATAAATTGCTTTATCGGATCGTTTTTAAACTTTCATTATGAACGTACAATAAATAATGCCTCTGTATAATTTCTCTCTAACACTATGCAAACATTTTAATTTAAACGTGTACAATAATAATGTTATATTTCATGAAAAGAAATGAATGATTTTTCCTTTTCATTCGGTGAATTTATTTTCTTTCTTTTTTATTAACTTCGTTTTTGTTGTTTTATTTATATATTTTTAACATTTAAATTAAAAAGTATGTTTATTTATTTCAAGAAATTACTTTCGTTTGATTAAGGGGACATTTTATTTTTCCAGTCTGGAACTATTTACAACTGGGAGGGATAAAAGAATAACTCAAATTGTGGGCCTTCAACAGACCATGCTTCTCGTTGTTTTAATTGTGGATAAAAATGGCTTACTTTAAACGGGACATGAGAAAATTCCATCTTATGACCAAATAGAGTTAAAAAGAGAAAAAAGATTTTAAAAAAAAAGACTATATTTTTCGTTATTTTATTTTTTTTTTATTGCAGTCTAACGGGAGCTAGTTGATAAAGTGGTCCCTTAGCCAGCCATCATTGCTTTCTTTAACTGTTTCTACTGCTTCTGGTGGAGGTCCCTTACACCAAATATTGTTATCCACGTATTTGCATGCACGGGCGTGTTGTGTTCTTTGTTCCTGTTTACTGTTTAAGATTAAGGAAAGCTGCAGTAACACAATTGTATTACAAAACTTATACCTACAGTAGTAGTAATTGATTCGGTGTTGTACTGTATACTACAAATGTACAATTGATACAAAAAGGTTTTTTTTTTATTAATTAAAAAATAAAAAGAAATAAAGCTTTAAAAATATTATAAATAACAATTTCCCTTTTTTTAACAAGCCAGGGGCCAAGAAAATGAATCCTAAATAATATTTTCTAAATTTGAATCATAATTAAAACCAATCATTCCACACGAGGGAGTAGAAACAGTCGCCCTTTAAAATGGCAGTTGTAAGGTTGTGATTTTATATAATTCGGGGTGTAGTAGATTTCTGTCCCCCAAGAAATCTGATGGAGAGAGAGAGAAAAAAATCCGTTCAGTCCAGTGTCTACTTATTAAGGTTAAAAAAAATGTGTTTTACTTTACGTGATTGCTTTAGTAAAACTAAGTTACTAACTACAATTATAGTAGTCCTTGTTTGCAGGCATTTTTTGTTGAAGTACAGGAGTCTAGACACCCGCATATAGGTTTGAGTCACTATTATTGTTTTAACACTTGAAACATTTTATTTAAAACTACAGCAGATTTTATCTTTATGGACTAAAAGCAAAAATATCTGGATCCTTGATATCTAAAACCAAGCTTAAAAAACGCGTACAATTGTACAATGTATATACAACTCTGGGTCGTTAGTTAAAGAACAAACGTTTTTACTATGTGAGCTACAAGCCCTGCACTTAACTACACTTTAAAAATATTTACAACGAGTGCAAAAAAGAATAGCAAAGTTGGCGTTTGCTTCAGTGTATTCAATTGATTTCATTTCAATTTTTCATACGAAGATTACATACAAATTTTAAATCAATGTAAACTTCGTGTAAAAATTGATTCATTTAATCGGAAAAAAACAAATTTATATTTCCAGAATATCCTGAAATTTAAACGACAAGAAGACAAATTGCTATTAAAAAAAAAAAAAAGTGTTTCTAGCACCAAAAACCAAAAAGTTAACATTTATTTATCCTTAGATTGTCAAAATGCCTTTCGTAAGTTACATAATTACATCGGTTAGGACTTAAAAATAACTTTACTAAAATAAAAATTTAAAAAAAGAAATGAAAAAGAAATTCTTCTAGTTTTAAAACTTCTTTTCTGTACCAGATGAGTTACGACACTACCGTGAACGGACATAAAAAAAAAGTTTTTCAAAATTAGCCCAGATTGACTATTTTTATTCTATTTTATTTTTTGTTATATTTCATTTCATTTTAGTTCAATTTTTTGAGGGGTGTTTACGCGCTTACAACGCGTAATTTAAGTAAATATCAACTCGTGCGAGCAAAAGCGAAACCGGTAGTAATTTCGCAAAGTGAAACTATTGGACTCCTGTTGAGAGTTGGTAGTCACGTGCAATTGTTTACTTTTAAGTCATTCATTCATTATTAGTACAACTACTCTGCTTTAGTAGCGTACTACTCGCGCTGTGCTCGGCTTGTTTCGACGAACCATGTGCTGGCGATGCTTAGTCACTGTTTACTTAGCATCGGGGCGGCAGGGTCTCCCTAACAGTTAGGGCCTAACTGTAACTTATGGTGTGCTTATTTAAGAAAAGGGGGGAAATTCAACGATGCTAATTTAAAATATAATTAAAAACCCTTAAAATTTTGCTATCAAAATTATAAGGTGGATAGTCGTACGATCTAAATTCAATGTTTTTTGTCCATTTTTTTTTTCGTTTGTTTAGCTAAAAACGAAAACTCTTTGCGATCTCTCTAATTTGTATTTAAAAAGAAAAAAAAAAAAGAAACGTGGTCTCTTTAGTTATTTTTTTTTAACTACGTATTAAAAAAAAAGAAAAACGAAAATATTGATTAGTTTTGTTTGTGTTTGTGTCCAGATTGATAATATCCTGTTACTAATATTTTTTCTTTTTTATAGTTTAAAAACAAAGTTATCGTTACCAACGTTCATAACTGTTATTGACTTCGGGTCGAACAGAAGAGAAATATTTATTCACAAACTTCTTCCTCCCTAGTTTTTGATATAAATTGAATACGGCCGGGTATATAAATAAAATAAAATAAAATTATATATATATATATAAAAGAGTTGGGATTTTCCGCTAAATGCTTTTTTATGGAATGTTTAAAATGTCAATCAATGAGAACTGTAAAAAAGTTAAAAACCGTTCTTCATTTCATTTCCGAAAACGATATCGATTTTTCTTTTCGCTGCTTATACATTTGAACTTGATTACTGGTCATCGAAGTTTTCAGTACGGAGGCCCACGTTGTATTTCATACATTTTTTGAGAGCCAAAGAAAAATAGTTTAATAAAAAACGGAAGAATAAGTCGTTATTAGAATTTTTCATTTTTTAAATAATCAGCCTGATACAAGGAAAGAAAAATCTGTGGCTGGGAGGCTGTGTAGTCAAAATGACCCCTGAACTTTCTGAAATATACTTACTCGAACGTAACCACTGTTTCTTATATGTCACTATCGTGTACCAAGATTTTAAAGTATACTTGTGCTTTCCTCTGGCTACAAGCAGCAAGGATCGAAACCGTTTTGTCGGTTCAACTGAAATCGTAGTTATTGACAAGAGTTCGCCTATCGTCCGGTTCACACTTCTTCACCTTGTTCCCTGTTTAGGATTATTGGGTTTTCGGTTCCTTCTAAAGTTTTTCCCATTCTCTTTCACACCTAGAAGCTTTGCGTCTTAATGCCATTAACGCCTTGCTTGGGGTGAATTAATTTAAAAAAAAAAACACCCAATCGTTGTCGATTTGGGGATTTTTATGGAAAACTTTTCGCTTCCTTCTGAGTGTCTTAATAAAGTGTATCCTCATGCATTTTGGTATCTCCAATTTGTAATTTGCTTGTTGGGCTGTTCCCTTTGCTAACAGCTATTCTAGGGTGCAAAATGAGGAAAGAGGACTTGGAAAATTTGATACTCACAGGACAGATTGAAGGCAAGAGAGACAGAGTAAAACAACGTATAGCCTACCTGGCGAGCTTGAGTAAATGGATGTCAGGGCAAGATTTAGGAGAGATAACAAAAGAACAATATTTAGACAAAGGACAGGAAATTGTGGAGAGCCATGATCGCCCACGTTCAAATCATATATACCCCCCCACACACACACACACACTTGAACGATTGAGCCTCCTGTGACGCGATAGTTAGCAGGATCGTCTACTATTGAATGTAGTCAGTTCGATCCTCGCAAGGGGCCCGTTTGTGTCAAATTTTGTAATGCTTAGTACGTATTTCTAGGCGAATGTTACTCTTAGTAGCGCATGAGTACGTATTTGCCAAGAAAATGCTTAGTAGAGAACTGCAGCGACAATAGTAAATAAAGTAATAAAATATCCAATCAAATTATCTCTCGATAGAGATAAATTTTTTATTCATTGATTTGACTGATTATTTTTTACGGCTTATCGATCTTTTGCAGGCTATTTAAAACCAGAAGACATTTTGGAAATAATAATGTTTTTAGAGTATACGCCCTACTAATTGACCCATAACAAATGGGAGGGGGGGATACAACGAACTTGGCTGGAATTGTAATTCAACTCTCAATTACTAGTCGTTATCTATTATACCACCTGCACATTCAAACTTACAGTACCTGGTATTCTCAAGCAGTCACCCATCTAGGCACTGACCAGGCTCGACGTTGCTTAACTTCAGTGATCGTACGAGAATCGATGTTTAATCGTGATGAGGCCGTAATCCTTGCTACCTGCACATCCAAGCTTACAGTACCTGGTATTCTCAAGCGGTCACCCATCTAGGCACTGACCAGGCTTGACGTTGCTTAAATTCGCTGATCATACGAGAACCGGTATAAAGACAAAAGGATTTTTTATCAACGCATTTTGTCTTCTAATGGAATTTATCAAAGTAAATGATACATTTATCTTGATAATGTCCTTCAGAGGACGAAACGGCTTGGTAAAGAAAAGTTTTCCTTATGTCTTTATTCATATTGTCTTTTTACATATATATTTTTTATTTATATCTGAATATAATATCAAAATACGTCAAACTACTAGAATTTAACGTATTTCGTGGCGGGCAGATTTTTTTTCTCAGTAGATAACTGGATTGACAAGAAGAGTCAATAAATTAATAAAAGTTCAATAGACTTATCTTTTGACTGGTTTCAAAGTTTTGCGAACACAACGCTCATCAGGGTCAGAGGGTTAGATAAAATTTCACAAAATCATGAATGAATCAGATAAAAAGATATTTAAAAATTGAAGGGTAGCGAAAATGTGCATCTCGGTCGCCTGACCTTAATAGAGAGATAAGAGAAGATCTTTTCAGGTAAACACAATTGCAAATACGATTGTCATAAAAAGAATTTGACAGATAATGTGGCGGTGACGTTTTTTTTTTTTTTTTTAATGTTTTTGTTTTATTGATTAATAAACTAAGTTTTAGTACAACACAACACCAGATGAGGGTAAGAACATTATGTTTACGCCAATTTTTTAAGTGGGAAAAGTTTTCCAACATTGAATTTTTCGGCTGTTATGTTTTTAGATCCATAGTCCAGTAGCGATCATTGTTACTTTGTAAATAATTATATTTTTTTATATATACGGTAGGCTACTTTAATGACTTATACAAGTTCAGTTCAAAATGTAGAGCCAATTGTGTCAATAATAATTTTTAATGCCATGTCCAATCAGGCCGTAGATAACTATCGACATCCACAGCTTCTTTTTTTTTTATTATCTTTGAATTCACATTAATTATTGTGAAAAATAGTCAGGTTGTTTCTTGTGGCCTTCTCCACGTTTTTTTTTTTATTTTTTTATTTTTTAATTCAGTGTTTTCACATAAAGCTCGGGAGCTCAGTTTATTTTACTATTTAAAGAGAGTAGGGATAGATTCCCGCCTTTTCTCAGGCTATTAATGATACATGAATCTAACAGAAGCTGGAATTTGAACTCGACAATGATTGTCAAATATTGAAAATTATATGATTTATTTTTTTAATACTATATCCTTCCAGTGCGTAATCGATGACGGTCCTCCATAAGTTCCTTTTCTTTATTACCTGGAAATTGCTATGATCAGCGAAAGATAGTAGGATGGTTTCGCGTTGCCTTATCTTCTGTTTTGAATAGATCAGTCCTCCTAGATTGTCCCCCAAAGCTAGATATCCCAGTTTATCCAGTTATTTAATCTAAAATTGGGAGTGATTTTGTCTTGTATCTACTTAACTGCATTTAATAAAGAATTGGCTCAATGAAGCCCTTTCGCGGTTGACATGTAAAAAATGTCGTAAGTCTTTAGTGGTTAGGAAAGTGTTCAGATGAACTACATTCCTTAGTTCAACCAGTTCTAACCTCATTTCTTTCGTATTCCAAATGAGAGGTGTAATTTCCACCACAGCCGTTTCTTCCCACGAACCGCTGCTTTGTGAAAGCGACTCCCAAGAGGATGCTTCCCCGATCACTACAATCTTAATCTGTCCAACTTTAGTGTTAACCGTTATCTTCCCCACATATCCATACAAACCGTACCTCTTAGTCTGTAACCCACTAACTCGAGTGTCTCTTGAGCCTTGTACAGGATGAACATCAATTTTTTTTTTTAAAGTTATTATTTACAGGGAATCTTTTGAGCTTAATCTTGTGACTAGATTCGTACTGTCCTAAAAAAAATTACTAATGGAATTTGGTCATTAACTACTCTCAATCGAGTCTAAAGGCGTCTCCGAGTCCTTTTGGGTGACAGATATTTTTCATCTTCCAATCACTCTCTCACTCTCTCTCTCTCTCTCTCTCTCACACACACACACACACACACACACACACAGAGGCAAGGATGTAGCGAGTTTCTCGGTACTCTCTCGCCACTTGCATGGAAAGTGCTCGGGAGAACTAGATTCCTTGGTTCCGCCAGTTCTAATCTTCACGGTTAGGACCCGCCATGCCACTCACATTATAGCAATCCACCCACATTCCCTCTGTGTTCCACTGGCGAGAAGTAAGTTCCACTCGAACAGCTTCATCCTGCGAACCACTGCTCTGCTGAACTGACTCCCAAGTGGATGCTTCCCTGATCACTACAATCTTAATCTGTTTAAGTTTAGAGTTAACCGTTATCTTTCCTATCTGAATAAACTGCCTCTTAATGTACCCCTCTACTTCGAGTGTCCCCCCCCCGGACCTTATACAGAGGGAAACCTTACTGTAAAAAAAAAAAAAAAAGAAAAGAAAAAAAAACTACTAAAGACAAGAGAATTGGTGAGAAGTACATTCCAATCAAACAGCTTCATTCCACGTACCATTAATCTGTGGAACCGACGCCCAACATGATGTTTCCCTGATAACTACAATCTCAACCTGTTCAGAAGTTGACTATTATCTTTCTCTCTGCATAAACTGCTTCTTAATGTAGCCCTTCTTCGAGTGTCCCCCGGACCTTGTACAGGGGGGGGGGCTTACTGCAAAAAATAAAAAGAAGAAAAAAAACTATTAAAGACAAGAGAACCTGATCAGGTGCTAAAGCACATAATTCTCACAAGAAAAGAAAAGTTTACCCCCACACACACACACCTAAAAATATTTTTGAAAGCCGTTTAGGTAATCAATAAATATGTAGTATAATGAAAAAAACAAAAACAAATATTGATTTTTCAACATAATCTTTTTCGTTGTGAATGCACATGTGTGATAACGTTTAATCGCATCAATCAATCGTACGTTATTATCGATCACTATAATCTCATCCTCTTGGGTCAACTGTTGTCTATCCTACATATCCTCGTGATCTACACTTAGGTACTTCCTTCTCTTACGCCCATACAACAACCTCATTCAGTTACCCTCTAACTTGTGCAGTTCCTGGGTGAACATTTAGTAATACAAACATAGATAGATAGATAGATAGATAGATAGATAGATAGATAGATAGATAGATAGATAGATAGATAGATATTGACTCAATTACGTGAATAAAAATCTCTGTACAATAACTACGCATCTGCTGCCACTGCTCGCTCATGGGTTTCACAATGACTCTTAAAACCACAAAGACTCTTAAAAGTTCAGTTTACACTGCAGACAAATTTATTTGGGATATTTGTCTGTCCCGTCTTTTCATGATTGATATTATGTGTCTTCCTATGTCCCGTGAGACTGGTCTTGTTTATACATTGCTTATGACACAAAGTATAAATCAAGTCCTCCTGTTGATGGTAACGTATTCAATCCAAGGTATCTTCACACACACACACACACACACACACACACACACACACACACACAGTAGTAATGTACTTTAAAAAAAAAACATAAATTTAACATTACTTCTCTTGCCATTCTTTTCAGATGCAACTAAATAAATAGCGAAACATTTATAAACATTTTTCTACATGTTCTTTAGTTATCTTCTCAGATTTAATCCCAAATATCAATTCATAATGGATTTATATTCATTTATTAATCCGACAGATTTTTATCACTTTAAACATTATTTTTCGTGGATACTCATATTTGAATAGACGTTCCATTTATTCATCAAGCAGTATATTTATTTTCGTTTACCGGCGTGCATATTATTAGAGAGAAATATGCACTCTCCGACATATTCAGGTCGGTAAAAATAAATTTATAAAATAAATAAATATATTGCATAATAAATAAACGAGCATCTACTCAAATATAAGTATCAACTATATATATATATATATATATATATATATATAACGAAAGGGTACCAATATAATCAGTGCGATAATATGATTTCCACCAGAAAATACACCGTCTACAAAAACATTTGTCGTTGAGTAATTCCCATTTTTCTGTTTATTTCTCGATCCGTTGATGAAGGACACAGGCGTGACGAAGAATTCCGAACATAAAACTTTTCTCTCTTAATATTTAATAAATGCTTATCGTACTGATTATATTGGAACCATTTAGTTCATCCTTTTAATAACTAACCTATCTGTTTTACATATTATAAGAAGCACACGTGAACCCTTCTTCAAATTATATATATATATATATATATATATATATATATATATATATATATATATATATATATATATATATTCTTCATGCCCAACGCATATCTTCTTTAGAAAGACTACTCGGCTTCTATTCTGATTGAGATTAATTTAAACAATGTTAAAAATAGGGATGTCAATTTAAACACGAGTCGTGTTCGATGCATTCATTTTTACACAATTAACTTTAGGAAAGCTAAGAATTTATCATGTCCTCCAGCTATGGGTTAAATATCATGGCAAATTGTGTTCCCCCGTCGTATTTGATACCAGTCTCAGAGAAGGACAGCTCTGAATTCAAAACCGGTTGGGCAGAGGACTACCAAATCCATCCCATAAAAGCCTACCAGCTACGGAAACCTAAGCGGCAACGCCTAGCTGTGGCCCGACACTACTTAGTGGAGTCTATGGGATATATATATATATATATATATATATATATATATATATATATATATATATATATATATATATAGGGTCTTCATAAAGTTCATTGTGCAAAATAAAGTTATAAATTTTTTAAAGTGCACACGGACTTTATGGGCACCCTGTATATATATATATATATATATATATATATATATATAAAGAGAGAGAGGGAGTGTCAGTAAATGAATAATAATGGCTAAAAAAGGTATTTATTTTTACACGACAGATATTTATTTTCTATCCTGTCAATGCACTTAATTCAGTCGTTAATATTAATCGCATACAGCTGATCTGAAGTATTCACTGCATAAGATATTTATACAGAATCATTTAATAACCACGTGTCAGACTGATTCACCCCGAATGTTGGTTTGAATTACTTAGCCACTTGCAGATGGAGATGTTCGTCTCACAAGTCATGATTAGTTCATAAATGTTCGACCCTCACTGGACGACCCTCTTAATCCCTCTATCCCAGATAATACTGATATGTCCCTATTTGCGAAATGTGTTCTTTGTATTTTTCGCGCCACACAATGCGCGCCAACGTATAATATTTGTATTTTGGCAAATAATATTTAGGAGAAAATAATATTCATCAAATAAGTCATTCAAACTGAAGTCTTCATCTTTGTTTTTGTCATCAAAACGTTTCGACCGTCATGCACTCCGGCCTTTTTCAGGTCATTTCATTCGGGTAATCTTCAGTGAATTTCGAACTGAATCTTTTCCTTAATCTCAGTCAATTATGTGCCATGCGTGATACACGCTTAGGCGATCATGTATCTTTCGATAGATGATTTTTCCCGCAGTAGGTTGCCATTTCTTTCTGCGGTAGACCAGTTGCTATCCCGATCTGTCCTGCTGTTTACCCATAGCTGGGCAGGGGAGAAGAAGAGGATTCATACCTTTCCCAAGGGTATTAGCACGTAAGTGAATGTAATGGATTTGACTGGAATTCGAACTCAGCTCTCCGATTACTCCACCGTGACTCATCTTTTTAGGACTCAGTCAGTTATGTGCCATGCGCGACACACGCTTAGGCGATCATGTATCTTTTGATACATGACTGACGAGGCAGATTTTTTTTCCCGCAGTAGGTTGCCATTACTTTCTGAGGTAGACCAGTTGCTATCCAAGTCTAACCCGGTCTGTCCTACTATTTATAGCTGCGGTGGGGAGAAGAGGATTCATACCTTTCCCAAGGATATCAACACGTAAGTGAATGTAATGGATTTGATTGGAATTCGAACTCAGCTCTCCGATTCCTCAATCCGACCCACTATCTATTACTCCACCTTAATCTACGCAAATAAATTGTTGTCCTTCTGCATTTTTTTTTTTAGAACTACTCATAGCCATAGCCTCGTGGATTAAAGTGTCGGGTCGTGAACTTGGTAGGGAAGTAATTGTGTGTTCCATCCCTGGACCAGGTAATATAGACTCAGAGTTAGTAGGCTAGCAATTGCTGTCCCGTACTAAAAAGAAAACAAAACGAAATTAATACATGAGAATCTACTATCTCGCCGACACTTACAAAAATTAGGGAAACTCAACAAGCTGGATGTTTAAGTTTAAAATGCTTTTAGCAAAAAGAACAAAGCGAGTTGATTATGCATAGCGACAGCTCGTTTTGGGAAACATAGAAATTACCCGATCTTTAAATAAAGTGATGAAAAATAGATTGCATTCGACAATGTTTAACGTAAAAGGCAATGGACTGACGGATAAATGTACACAACCGACCCCAAATGTTGAGCTCATTTGAAGAAAGTCAATGTCGTACGTGTGATGGTTTCGACGGGGTACTATTCATTTAATGTTCTTAAAGAGCGATAAAACATTAAACGCACATTTATACGTCCGGCAGCTGCAACGTGTCTATATGTTTCGTTTAGTCGAAATGTGCCCTGCGATCGTCAATAGGAAAAATGCTCTCCTCCTCCATGACAACACAAGACCGCATATAACAAGAATAACGCACGAAAAAAAAAATTGAAACTCGTATCTCTTCTACCCCACCCGCCATATTGATACTCTACCTGATTACCGAGTCACTCCACAGTTGGTAGTGGTAGACGTCACCAAAATATTAATTAAACAACTACTGAATATATATATATATGTGCGTGTGTATGTGTGCGTGTGTGTATTGTATAATAAAGGCAAAACAGTGATGCTGTAAAGACAGTGCCAATATAAGTAAAAAAAAAATACTCATATGTTACTGCTTTCCGCGATTAAAAGTTTCATGTGGACGCAGGTGTTGATTGCTGAGGTGAAGCCAGTCGAGATCAAACGTGTTCCTCTTGTGTTTTTCTTGTTTTTTTTCTGTACCTAACTAGGCATTTTTTTTAAATTTTATAAATTCTATATCCCTTAAATATATAGGTATAATAGCATTCCTTTTCTTTATTATCTGTGAACTGTCACGATTTCTTCGAAAAGACAATGGGGTGTTTTCCCGTTGCCTTCGCCACAGTTTTGAAATAAGAGTTTCTCCTAGCTTGGTTGCCATCTAAGGCTAGAAGACCCACTCTATTCTGTTATTTAATCCATGTCTAGAAGGATAAGAGGTGGATTCTGTTTGCCATGCCGATAAAATCTTGGCAAGCCAAGTCTATGAACTAAGTAGAATCTGTTCGAACTGAGCGGGATTTTTCTTTATAGTCACTATTTGATAGTTAAAAGGCCACAACCTTGATCTGAAGTTTGATATTGCAACAAGAAAGAAATTGTCATTCTAGAATTAAAATGTTTCCTCTGTTGGACAGTGATCTACTGATAAAATCCATAATGGGAGCCAAATTCAAATTCAAATTTTTATCTCTTTCATGTGAATCAGAGAGCTTTTAGACATTTGTTAGTCTACGCCAAGCCCGACTTTTAGGAAGAGCAAAGTAATGAACCAACGCACAGACTAGCAATTTATTTGCTGCACGTTTACTATTGTTTGTTACAGAATTATCAACCACAAAAAACTCTTAACGCTTGCTTGCGTCCTCGATCTTTTCTTACAATCACGTCATGATCTTAGGAGAGGACGCAGAGTTCGGCGGGTAAAGCTGTGAATAGGCGCTTACCATAGAGCGAAGGACTAATTGTAGTTACATGGAACAACTTTAGCTTATTTAATTGAAGTAATGCCCCTTCCCAAATTATACCATATACCCCAGGACGTCCTATACTACAGCTCTACTCATGGTGCAATTAAAAGCCAGAGCTGCAAGCCTATTTGAAAATGATTGAATTTCAGATATTTTGGGAGGAAGTTAAAAGTTACCTCTTTTTGAAAATACGTGAAATGATATTTTACTCATAGTTGGTGGATAATCACATTGAAGATGTTTTTTTTTGGGGGGGGGGGGTTACTGGGAAGTATTAACCCTAGAAAACTAAACATGTGTATACAGTACCCAGCGAAAATTTTCCTATTTTTAATTACAATTTTCAGTACCTGATTTTCTTACCTAAATAATGTTTTTCAGTTCCTGTTAATGTTAACTCAAAGTACAAAGTTTGAAGTGCCTGCATGTAAAATATTTCAAATAAAAATTTATATTTAATATTTTCTTTGGTATTTTCAAAATCAGGTGTGATATACCCATGGTTAGTAGTGGTGTAGCTTTAATTGATGGTTAGTTTTCTAGGGTTAAAGAAAACAAAGAGGAAGTCAAAATTTCTGGTAAAAGATATGATCCACATAATATTGATATTTTGTTAAATCAAAAAGTTACTTTTCCTTATAGAATACACTATGAAAGTTTCAAAACTTTACAGATAGTCCTTTGTTTTACCCATCATTGTCTTTGGATTAATTATCCATCTTAAAACTGTTTTAAAGAAGCAAAATATATATCGGATGAATGAATTCTGGAACAAAAATATGACATGAAAGAAAATTATAGAACATCATTTATAGTTAGATCTCTTCTTCTCGCTTTGGCCCCGAATACATTTATGACCTTTCTTCATCTTAATTATATCACTATGGCCGTATCATGCCGAAACACCAGTTCCTGTATGATCACTGAAGTTAAGCAACGTCGAGCCTGTTCAAGATCTTGATGGGTGACGCTTGGGAGTACCAGGTGCTGTAAGCTTGAATTTGAGGGTTGTGTAATGAATAATGGCTCTGAATTGGAAATCGGAGAGGCGAGATATAATTGTACACTATTTACATTATTTAGACTATTGTCCTCATCTTTGTTGCCATATTTATTACAACGTTTCGGCTGTTGTACGTTCCGGCCTTCTTCAGGTGGTTGGAATGTCGAACATTAATACCTCATCACAGAAATATAGAGAGATACAATTGTGTTCGTTATATTTACTTACGCGCAAATATTCTTGGGAAAAGTATGAATCCACCAATTCTCCCCAAGACTTGTATCACTAGACCATTATTATCTAAAAAGAAAAAAATTCTTACAGCCTTAAAAATATTTTCTGGCTTTAAATAACCTGCAAAGTGTTGCTAAGTCGTAGAAAACGAATCAGTCAATCAATTTACATTCAAGTTAAACAAATAAGGTGTTTTTTTTTTCTTTTTTAGTAGGGATGTGGGTAGCATCGTTATCGGAATTGTTTCGATTTGAAGCTAACTGCAGATCAGTGTGATTTCTCATCTTCAGCAGGGCGGCTAGTTTTCGATCATGCTCATCCGTTCAGGCCGATCTGTGATTCTTCAACACCCACGGAGCTAACATGTCGTTTTTACTGTAACTATCCTGAGCGAATCTTAGTTACAGTTCAAGTATCTACTCGCCAAGTCAAATACGGTTTTGAATCGGTGTTTTCCTTCTAGTAATGGCTCCAATTGAAATTCGTAATCTGAAGTGATTTTTTTCGTATATTACCATCGATTAACCTTTATCACTCTGTATGTGATTTCATTTGCTGCGCAAAACTTTAATCTGCCACTGAAGGTGACTCTGATCTCTGAATTTGTTTGAATTTCGTAGACGTGTTGTCATATCCTGCTATGGCAACAGAAAACAACTTTGAATGAAATTAATAATAAAGTTACTGCAATTGAGAAGCCTTGAAAAAGAATGCAGTGGAAGGGGGTGTAATATTAATAATGCAGTTTGTTAAAGGTTAAGCAATCCAGATTACGAATTGTTTAATTTTCAAGAAAACACATCGTATGTTTTGGCTTCTGTATTTATAATGAATTCGCATATCAATCAGGACTTCTTATTTCGTTATCTAGAGTGCTTAATCGATACTAGTAAGTAATATTAAAAAAAGAAATATGGTCTTAATGCTTATTATACAACCCCGCTAGGCTTTCTAAATAATAGTATGATTCAGTCATTACAATTTTACTTTGTGTATTATTAAGCTTTGAGAGACCTCAATGCTTAAAAAATAGTTTTGTTATTGATAGTCTAGTGAGCCAAAAAATCGATGAGTGGACTTTTTTTTAAAAAAATGGTGGTCGTTAGGTGGAGATCGAATATAACAAAGATTAAATTTAGAAACTTATTATTATTTGATTTCTGTTGTATACACATTTCCGGGTCCCAACCAGAGACCTAAGGTTAAAAATGGCTTCATGACATTTTCCACTGAACATTTTTGTTAAAAAAAAAAATTAAAAAAAAAAAACAAGATCACACACATAGATAAAGTTTTTTGTAATGTGAGCTGTACTTGTGAGTACAACAACAACAATAATAATAATAATAATTACTACTACTACTATTATTATTATTATTATTATCATCATCATCATTATTCAAGTTATGGTTTAAAAAAAAAAAGAGGCCTATAAAATAATATCACTGCAGCCCAGAGTGTTTTAAGTTGAAGGGAGGGAGCTTTAAATGTGAATTGGGGGCGCGAATAACAATTTACCCACTAAAATTAGTTCACAACGTTTTCACATTGGCGGTGGAAATGATCTTCTGGAGGGGCCAATTTCCCCGACCCAGCACAAGCGACGAGCCTGTATCATCCCGTATAGAGGCTTGAAAAGGAACAGGTTTGAAATAAAATAACATAAATACTGAATGAGCGAAAAGAGAGAAAAAAAAATGGATCGGTTACCAAGGAAGTAACTAGTGTCAAACGCCTGGCTATGTCTTTGTGTTCGTACTTAAATAAGAGGAAAGGAAATAGAATATCTTAATTCCCACTGCCTTTTTTTATTAGTAGTATTGATATTATTAGTAAATCCTAACGTTACGATGTACCAGGGTAATCGTACTTTTGTGGTAGGTTTTTCTTTCTTTATGCCTTTTAGACTCTTTTTTTTTTCTTTTCGTTTATATAGCCTTTAAAACTGTTTTCTTGACTCTTTCTTTCTTTAAAGTTATGGTTTCTTGACTCTTTCTTTTTTTCTTTGTTTCTTTCTTGAGTTTGTTTATGCATTCTAAAGTTAAAAAAACAACACTTTCTTTCTTTAAAACTATGCTTTTTTGGCTCTTTTCTTTCCTCTTAGTCTTCTTATATCATTAAATTGTATTCTTCTTTCTCTTCATCTTTAAAACTGCTTCCCATATTCTTTCTTTCTTTAGAATTGGGCTTTCTTGACACTCTTTTTTTCTTTCCGTTTATATCGTCTATTTTCTTCTTTCTTTCTTTCTTTCTCTTCTTATCTTTTTTAAAACTGCGTTCTGGATACTTTCTTTCTTTTTAAAATGATTCTTTAAATATTTTCTTTCTTTCCACTACATTGCCTTTAAATTAAAACTGTTTTCTTTCTCCTGCTTTGAAGACACTTTCTTTCTTTCTCCTTATAGCAGTGAATGAATTTATTTTTTAAATAAAAAAAAAAATTGTGACTGACTGTGTCCAACAGGCTTTAGTTGGAGGAACACGAAAGAAAGAGTGATGAAAGAGGTGAAAATGGCCTCCTGGGAGACTCATGTCTTCTTTCCGGGTGATATTTGCATGAAACAGCTCAAATATCCGTCACCTGGGAGCGAAACACATTCGACGGTAGCGCTCAGATTTTTTTTAAAGTCGTTTATGTCCCTCTATATAGCGGTCAGTTAAGTAACATAACAATATGCACAAATAAAATTAGTAGAAAGACACTACTACCTACCATGAAAGTACTTGTAATTGGGGCATAGACACCTATCGTGCTATAAGGGGTTGGATAGGAGGAGGATATTTTAGTCCCTAGTATTTGCTGAAACTGAAGACTAAGAAGAAGGGTTGTTTTCTTGGCCTCAATCTATGACGATACATAATTTGTCTAGCTAGAATTGTCTGCCATTAATTTTCAAAATAAATCAGAAAATTTAATTTTTCATTTTCTTTCCGAAATATTAGCTTCGGAATATATGTTTTATGCGGAAAAAATGAATAGGTCTCGTTTTAGAAAATAAGTACAAACGAAAAAAAAATATATACATATAATAAATGAATCTAAAAATATAGTGATTTTTCTGAGGGGATTGGATAAAAAATTAGAATAGGGAATCTTTAATTAAAACTTAATATATCTGATTTAAGCCCCTTTTTTTTTTTTTTTTTTTTTTGTGCCGCTTCATACACACACACACACACACACAAACAGAGAAAATGATTTTTAGGAAATATCCGAACAAGGTATATGAAATGAAATGGAAACTAGTTGAACGTTCATAATTTTCTGTTGTCAACTTTTCGTTCAGTAAGAACACAACTGAAAAAATTAAGGAAAAATCGTTACCATGGCAATCTTGTTACGCCGTGGTTATTTTGATTTTTTTTTAATATAGCAGTTAAAATAAATATTTATGAATAAATAAGTATCTACGAACAAATCAATAAGGTTTGTACATAGGGAAATGTTAAAATAAATGTAGAAAAAAACTGATGTAGGAAAATTAAAAAGAAAGTTACGACACGAAAAATAAATCGCCTATAATGAAAAAGTGAATTCAAATTATAATTTTATTTTTAGGTGATAAAGATGGAATTAAAATAAAAATCTATACTCTAGTCAAATTTTATTTAAGTTTTTAAACCAGTATATCCAAACTTTCTTTATCTTAACCAGAAAAGGTGATATGACATAAAAAAAAAATCCCTAGATTTTTCATTTTTATTAATCGAACACTAATAAAAATGTTCTGTTTAACCAGGATGAGAAATTAAAATGTTTTGGAGGATGATTGAATTGTATTCAAATATGTGAAAAAGCCACTGGAACGATCGTGATTTGAAATTCAATGGGATGGATGAAGTGAGAAGTGTTTGCACACGTGACCCGAGTCCGTTCCCTAAGTGTTTCGAAGGGATTGGCCTTTCAGTCGCCAGTGGGTCGGGGTGGAGGTAGAGAGAATTTGCAGACTAAAATTAAATTAGTTCAAATATTTATTTTTTTTTATGATTTCTAAAATCTTTAATGTTCTAGGTGAAGCAGTTCTCCCTTGTCCACGACCCTTGTGACCCTCTTATCGTAAAAAGTGCTGTAAACGTTAGAAATAATTGTTTAACTAAACATACATTTGAATTTGCCAACTTCGTTACGCAACGTTTCTACTCGTAAGAAATCCGCTTAACGGATTACACGCTCACATATACACACACAAGCACACACACACAAGCACACACACACAATTGCCGGCTACTCACTGCCGGGCACTCCCGTCTGCTAAGTCGGCGAGCCAACTCCTGTCGCAGATCCCCGCTCAGGAACATTTATTTTTGTTCAACACCCATGGAGCCCGTCTGTGGTCTATATAGTATAACTACTGAGGTGACAATAATTTCTTCAGTTTCTTGGAGAGAATAGTTTGGATAAGGCCAGTACGCTCAAAACGATGACTTGTAACTTCGTGTTAGTCACCGATGGCTTCGGAAAAGTTCCTTATACAATTTTACTAAAAATGATTGGGTCAATAATACCTGGCATGGTTTTCAGGCACTTTACAACGATAGCATCAGAAAATGATCACTCTCTAACCACTTGGCTACGTGCATTCATGCATATAAGTGTACATTGTACAATATTTAAAGAAATATTGGCAGGGAGAGCAGACGGAATTTGCCCTGGTAATTTATTAAGTTACCCTAAAAATAACCAGCATTTGCCTTGAAAATGTACAATTCTGCAGTCTGTCTCGAACGCTTATGTATAAGTACGTTCGCAATTAAAA